TAACAAAGAATGCTGTCTGTTCAGGAGAAATATAAATATTTGCTTTCCCTAAAGTGACCTTTAAATCAATGGAAAGTCAACATCTCTGGGAATTAATGAGAAATTATAAGACAGTGTCATTTCCTAGCAAGAGAAATGGAACAGAGATTTAAAACAAAACAAAAACAAACCCTGGGCTCTCACACTGGCTCCTCCTGTTAATCACGCTTTGAGCCCACTAAACTGATTCTATAACTGTAAAATGGGAATATTAGTCCAGCTTACTTCTCAAAAGTCTTGAGGGATCATATGCAATCACAGACAAGACAGCTCTGCATAAAACGTAAATATGCAAGGCATCATTAACATAAGACTATGACTTTAACAGATCCAGTTCTCTTCTTTAGCCTAAAGTCCAGTAATCATGTGTCTTTCAATATTTTTCTATTGTGAACAATGCATACGCACTTCTCACACACACAAGCACATTGATGGCATAAATTCTTAGAATTAGAATTTCTGGGTTAAAATTTATGATTTTAACAAGTATTGCTAATACTTACAAAGTTCTCACCAATGCATTTTCTGGACCAGCGCAATAGAAAATGATTTCCTACACCACCTCTACATATATTACCACTTTTTATTTTTAACTTTCACATTCTTATTGGTGAAAACTGTAGCTTTTATTGTAGTTTTAAATTTGGGTTTAAGTACAACTGAGCATCTTATGTTAGGCTACCTTAATCATCCACGTAATTATCATTTGCATTTGGGTCTATTTCTGGACCCTACTGCATTCCATTGATCATACCATATTAGTTCCTTCCCTCCCTTTTTCTGCTTTCAGGATTATCTTGGGTGTTGCTGCTTTTATAATTTTCTACAAGAACTAAGAGTCAACTAGTCCAGTTCTAAAAAAAAAAAAAAAAAAAAAAAGTTAATTTTATTGGGACTGAGTTAATTTAATAGATTTTAAAGGGAAATGACACCATCAAGTTTTTAACCCAGGACTGTAACATGTTTTTCATTTAACCAAGGCTTATTTTCTATTCCTAAAGGAGGATTTTGAAAGTTTCTTCATACAGGACTTGCACACTTCTTAATTTTATTCCAAGTCTTTTGGCCATTTTATACGTTTTTTTTGTTTTTTTTTTTTTAGATCCTACTGCTTATTGATATCTGAGTATCAGTTCTGGACCAAGCCCTTACTGAATATACTATTGTTAATAGTCTTTCAATTCTTTTAAATTTTCCACATGTATAACCAAATTATCTGCCAACAGTGATGTTATTTCCTTGCTAATTATTATACCTCTACATCTTCTAAGACTTCCAGGAAAGTTAGAAAAGTCCAGAAGCCTTCTTTTTTTTTTTTTTTTTTTAAAGATTTTACTTATTTATTTGAGAGAGAGAGAATGAGAGACAGAGAGCATGAGAGGGAGGAGGGTCAGAGGGAGAAGCAGACTCCCTGCCGAGCAGGGAGCCCGATGCGGGACTCGATCCAGGGACTCCAGGATCATGACCTGAGCCAAAGGCAGTCGCTTAACCAACTGAGCCACCCAGGCACCCCCGTCCAGAAGCCTTCTTTAAAAAGCTAGACACTGGGCGCCTGGGTGGCTCAGTTGGTTAAGCGACTGCCTTCGGCTCAGGTCATGATCCTGGAGTCCCGGAATCGAGTCCCACATCAGGCTCCCTGCTCAGCAGGGAGTCTGCTTCTCCCCCTGACCCTCCTCCCTCTCATGCCCTGTCTTTCATTCTCTCTTTCGCAAATAAATAAAATCTTAAAAAAATAAAATAAAAAAAAAATAAAATAAAAAAATAAAAAGCTAGACACTGAAGTGCACACCCCTGTCTTGTTTCTGACATTAATAGGAATATCCCTAGTATTTCCCAATCAACAACTTATTGTAGGGTAGAGTAGTTGTATTTAATCAAGTTTTAAAAATATCCATCTGTTCCTGTGGTAATAGGTTTTTTTATTTAATGAAGCATGGATTTCAAATTATATTGAAATGCCCCTTTACCATCTATGAAGATGCTTTTTCTCCTCATATAAACAATATGGTGAATTATATTACTTCCTAATAATGAAACTTCCTTGCACTTTTAAACTTCACTTAGATGAGTGATGCTTGATTCTTTGCCAATTTTCCCACCCATATTCACAAGCAAGATGAAATTATTTCATTTGTGCATCATTGGACTTGGATATTTTTATATACTCACCTTTTAAAACATATAAAAGCTTTATCTGGATCCTATAAAAATTTATAGTGCACTGAAATTAAAATTCCACTTTGAAATTTAATGCACTTAAGTGATATGTGCGGGTGGTGTAGTGGTAGGGGTTAATTCCTCTATAAATTATTTCATCTATGATACTTAACCTATTTAAGTTTTCTGTATCTTCTGGAATCTGCCATATATTTTTCTTTAAAATTAACCACATTATTTTGCTTTTTAAATATAATGGCATGGAATTGGACATAATTGTCTCCCCCCCCCTTTTGTTTTTGTTAGGGTATTGATTCTTGTATTTGTTTCTTAATTGGCTTATCTAGTTTCTTTTTGTACAAAAAAAAAAAAAATCACCATTCAGGCTTACTTACTCTGTATCTTCATTTTTTTTTACTGCATTAATTTATTTCCTATCAACTCCTTCATACTACTTAAATTTCTTCCATTTCTCTAAGAACAATGTTTAACACATTTGACTATTTTTGGACTAGAGTCCCTTGAAACAATCAGAAGTGAGGAACATAGGAAGTTATGAAAACTGAGGGAGTTTGGCTATGAAAGGGAATAGAGAAGTGCATACTTAGAAGCGAACATTAGGTCTAAGTGACACTGTACATTTGGAATTGTTTTTAGGTGGGTAGAGTTCATCTTTTTGCAACAGGAGGCAGATGGCATGGACTGTCCAAAATGTGTATGCGGTCACTGTTAATGGCCCATTTGAGGTATGTGGTCATTAAATCAAAAATGAGTCCAGTTAGCACAGCTGTTTTCCTCTGGTAACATTGTACAGCTTGGGTATACATAAGACAGGCACAGTAGGAGACTCGGGCTTGTCCTGGGTTGGGGTTCTGTCAAGTAGGTTTAAAAAAAAGAAAAAAGAGCACATGCATGAAATTCTGCCTAAAATTCCATGGGGTTCATGAACATGTGGTAGATGCAGTTTTTGCAAGATAATCCAAGAAGACCATAATACAAAACAGCATGAAGCAGGGAAATGGGTTTCTTAAATGCTACTCAGAATTTGATACTTGTGTATCAAACAAACAACAGCTGAAGCTTTGCTAGGCAGGATAAAAAAAGCTATCTTTCTCACCTCCTCATACTAGCAATTTCTTGTTGGCCTTTGGGGATGGGACCCTATTCACCTCTATTTTTCTCCTGTTAGAAGGTATATGAGAATCTCTCAGGGATGCAAGTGTAGTGGATTTCTTTATTTAAGCTTACAAAATACATGCTTATAGAAAATTAAAACATTATAGAAATATATAAAGCCAATCATGAAAGTTCTCCCACAATTTTACTCCCTCACAAAGCCACTGGTAACAATGTGGTATTACTATTCCATTATTTTTTATAGCATTAACAAGTTATTCTACAAAAAAATGCTTCCACAACTTGTTTTACCTAAGAGTAAAGTTTGGACGTCTTATTATTAGTCCAGACATTCCTCACTCTTAATGGATAGAAATAAATTGCATGAAGGTACCGTAATCTATTAAACCATCCCTTACTGATAGGACATTTGAGCCAGTTTTAATAATTAAAGAACAAAGGTGCAGTGAACTTGCTTGTGTACACTTGTCAGATTATTCCTATTAGGCAGTTTCCTAATCTTTTTAATGAAGAATTAGCCAAATGGCTTGAGCATTTTCAATATACTCTGAAAACCCCCCCTCCTAAGGGTTATAAACTTATACTCCCACCTACTGGTATACTTTAGAAATGCTTATTCAAAATTATGGTGCAGTTTTTTTATTTTGAAAAAAAAAAATCTGTATCAATTGTTCTTGTCACTGTGTTTTCTCACTACAGAAAGTGAAGGTGGACACATTTTGTTGACTGATGGGGTATCAGGATCCTAAGAGCAGGGTTTCGAAAACTCGTATTTACCACAAGGAATAGGTATCAGCAACTTAAATAACACTTTTCCAGAAAGTCTTCAAAAAGGCTGCAGCCCTTGCTTGCCACAGCTACAAATACCTCCACTGGTATCTCATTAATTCCTCCAGGTTTTAATACCTATATTGGTATCCTACTGCTTGGGGAATAAATCCAAACTCCAAATGAGCTTTCTCCACCACCAACCAGCTGTACTCATTACTCAACTGCAGCAGACAATTCTTGCCCCTAGAACACATCCCAGTTTCACAGGTCTGGTTTCATTCACTGTTATGCCTCATCCTAGGTATCGATACCAGTTTCCCTCTCTGCCCTCTCAAGGCTCAGCTCAAATACCCCGGACTCTGTGAAGTCTTCCACAGTGCTCTCTGGAAAAACGCGATGGTCTTTTCCTCTGTGCTACTCTGGCTATTTGCCTTCATTTCTATATCAGCATTTCTATAATAAGCTACTAGGGTCTTGGAGGACATACATCTTATACTTGGCTATCTCCTGAACAGTATCCAGTGCAGAACTTTGTAGAACATGCACTCAAAAACTGTTTGTGGAATAAACATATATAAGTAAAACTTCAAATCCTTTAATCCCCAATTATTAGTCACAGATACTAGTTCTTAAAGGACTAAGACAAAAACAACCCCCCCCCCCCGCAAAAAATGCAACTGCTCCCCTTGAAACAAGTCCTTATTATAGTAAGGAGTTTTGTAAGTTTTTTTTTAAAAGGTGTCTTTTAATAAAACTGTCAATTCTATCTTTAGAATAGTCATGTTCAACAAACCTACATATGCTTGATATCTGCATCTTACTTCCTAGGATCTCTATTTATTTTGGAAATAATAACACGGAGGGGCAGTTTATTGTAAAGTATGAAGCAGGAATCATTTAAGCATGTGAGTTTCTGCTTTATATTCCCAGCCAGAGCACAAAATGACTGGATATCCTCATCAACACCACGCTTTTTTGAAAAAAAAAAAAGGGGGGGGGGGGGAACCACCATGAAGATAATGCCATATTAAAATCTCTTTCTCTTGATAATTTCTGGCTTCCAGCTGACTGGATGAGTTTCTTCTGTCTGGAAATAGAAAATTAGAGAAGTTAAAATAAAGTATTATTAATTTGCTTTATATTAATAACTCTCTTCCTAACAAAAATAAGGCATCTATTCTAAATTACATTGGTTGGCATTACATATTTAGCAGTTCTTTAACAATTTTAGGAATAGCTGACAAACTTTTGACATCATCTGAACCTAATAAAGGATGAATGGGTTCACTACAAATTCAGTTCATGGTTTTTCAACTAATAAAATTGCTATTTAGGTACTCTAGTAATACCAAAGCTTATGATTTTAAAGTTAATTTGCATAGGAATTTGTTTGTGGTTATTCTTGATGTAAGATTTTCCCAATAATTATAGTAAGGATAAAATTAAAACAGTCTGTGGATTCGCCGGCATCAATGAAACCAATACAGAAATCTATGAGCAGACATTCGAGATGACAAATACTGAAATACTATAAAGATTATTTTCCCTTCTAATTTTTTTAATTTTTTATGTTATGTTAATCACCATATATTACATCATTAGTTTTTGATGTAGTATTCCATGATTCATTGTTTGCGTATAACACCCAGTGCTCCATTCAGTGTGTGCCCTCTTTAATACCCATCACCAGGCTAACCCATCCCCCACTCCCCTCCCTCCCCTCCCTCCCCTCTAGAACCCTTAGTTTGTTTCTCAGAGTCCATAGTCACTCATGGTTTGTCTCCCCCTCCGATTTCCCCCCTTTCATTTTTCCCTTCCTGCTATCTTTTTTTTTTTTTAACATATAATGTATTATTTGTTTCAGAGGTACAGGTCTGTGATTCATCACACAATTCCCAGCGCTCACCATAGCACATACCCTCCCCAATGTCTATCACCCAGCCACCCCATCCCTCCCACCCCCCGCCACTCCAGCAACCCTCAGTTTGTTTCCTGAGATTAAGAATTACTTTAAAATGAGAAAGCACTTGCAAAATTGGTATGGTTGATTTATTTTACTTCAAAATGTATGTGAAATAGAAAACTTACTGCTGTATCATCCTCTTTATACACTTTAATGGTTTTATCAGCTTCAGCTGTTAGTAACCGACTTTCAGACTGATCAAAAGCACAAGCAAATATTCCTGATTCACTGTCCAAAGATCCAGGCTGCACAGCTGCATGAACTCTCTGGAAATTGTAGCCAGTTCTCCAGTCCCAAAGATGCATAGTGCCATTGTCAGCTTAAAGGAAAAAATCTAATTAAACGTGGTAGCCTTTCAACAATTCAGCTTGGCAAACATTTAAGCACCATCCACGAGTCAAGCACCATGACCATAAAGACTAAAGTTATAAGACACAGGCACTCAAGCTTCTCTTAATATTGGTTTGTCTACTTTCATTTGTGCCTAATTCAGAATTTATTATAGAGCTCAAAAAGCACCACAAAATGCTATCTAGTTCTGGAATACACAACCAAAATTTAGGTAATTCTCAGCATGAATACATTAGATTTATCATGTGGGAACTCAAAGAAGACTAAACCATGAAATATGCTACATGTATTACAAACACGCATGAACACATATAGGAACATCCAAATACACATTAATCAGGCAAGTTGTGCTGTAATACTTAGGTGGGATGGCTTAGAAATTTTACAAATGTTTACTCATTTACAAAAAGAAAAAATGACTAAAACACATTATTAAAATCTTATTTTACCTCCAGAAACAAGCACTCCATCAGAATTCACTGTCAACGTGTTAATAATAGCATTATGACCAGAAAGATTTTGAATAAAACTTCCATCAGGGAATTTCCACTGTTTTATATTATCTGGAGAGCCAGATGCAAATGTATAACTGAAATAAGATGAAAAAGAATTCGTGATTAAGTAAACCAAGTTAAATAAAATGGTGAATTCAAAAAAGCTTTTTAAGGTTGTATTCTACATGTGTACTTATGGATCTACAGAGTTGTAGCAAAATATTATTGTCGTACCAAGAGGTAAAAACACAAAGACATTTGTTCCAAGTCAAATCTCAAATCAGATCTTCAAATTATTTTAAATATATTTTAAGTCCTGGATTAATGTTTCTTATTTCCCCAATGCTCTGCACTGAGCTAAAGCCACAAATGTACAAACCCCTAAACTCAGATTAAGGACAAGGGGTTATGAAACTATTCTGAACAGAGCAAGAGAGGGAGAGATGGGGCTATAGGAAGAGAGGAAAAAAAGGAAAGAAACAGAGGGCAAGAAGAAGAGAGAGAAAAAGGAAGTTAACAAGGTGTGCGTGGGTGGCTCAGTCGTTAAGTGTCTGCCTTCAGCTTGGGTCATGGTCCCAGGGTCCTGGGATCGAGCCCCACATGGGGCTCCCTCTGCTCAGTGGGGAGCCTGCTTCTCCCTCTCCCACTCCCCCTACTTGTGCTCTCTCTCTCTCTCTCTCGCTGTTGTCTCTGTCAAATAAATAAAGTCTTTAAAAAAAAAAAAAAAAAGGAAGTGAACGAGAGGAAGAAAGGGAGTGAGGAAGACAGAAAAATGGAGGAAGAAGGAAATAATGGATAAGGGGGAGAGGGAGGACAGAAAAAAAAATCAATGTGACCAGAAAAGGGTCAGGGTGATGTGATTTAACTAACAGGTTGTGATCTTATGCCCCACTTCTATGGACACCCCGATTATAATGTTCAGGGTTCCTACTATTTTTTTCTATGTATACTACTTCCTCTTTAAGAATTAAACTATTCTATGTAGATCTCAGTATCCAATAACATTTCTGTCAAACACCAAATCCATCTTCTATCAGCCTCTACTTTGACACACAGCTCTTAGCCATATTGTCTCATCTGCTATCATTTTTCACCTTGTGGAAAATTTTCCTCATCCTATATAGGTCATGAAGCAAAATACTACATAGGAAAAAAATGAAAGAAATGCACGTTCGTAAGTGGCACAGGCCTGGAAGTGACAATGGCTAAACGACTACCAAAGTAGCACTAATGTTAGTATTTCCACACTTACTCTAAAAATGGAAGAAAAAAGAGAAGCTAATTAATACACTTACTGTCTTGGATGTAAAACCACAGCCCTGACTGATTTTTTGTGATTTGTTAATGTGACTCTTGTTTTTCCAGCCACCAAGTCCCATAATCGTATTGTAGTATCATGGCTTCCTATAATGAAAACACATATCCACAAAATGCAGATCAGGAAAAATAATGCAAAAATCAAACATAAAAATATATGAATCAGTCTTCCATAGACACATACATACTAAATGAAAAGTCATACTAACTCCTGGCTCATTACTTTACAGCTCCAAACTTTTAGGTTGGTTTTAAATTTAATGCTAAAAAATGCAGTAAATGCTTGAAGCATTGTCAACTGAATAGCTAGAACAAATGCAATTAACAAATACAGCAAATACATGATATTACCCCTCATGGAGGGGAAGGAAAAAAAACAAACGATTTTTAATTAACAAAATGCATCAAATGAAGAAATTATTTTCTACTCGTAAGGTCTATTATTAATCTTAACATTAGCAAAACAAGACTCAAACCAGCTCTAAAGGTTATTGGTCTCTGGGTATTTTGTCTTTTGGCTTCGGTTTCCTAGACAGTAATTCTGATACTATGAAACAATGTCTCAATCTATCTAACAGCACCATTTTCTAGTCAGACATTACATGATATTGGGTATGATATATTCTATGATACATAAAGAGTATGAGATAAAAACAATAAAATGAAATGTTACCATAGTAAATTTTAAACGCACACAGAAACAATGTACCTCTGCAACAAAGCAAGAGTCACCGGTGAATATGAAAAGTGTAGTAAAATCATGATGCATTCTGATCAAATACACTGTAAACTTAGAAAGTATCAATCATACCAGTAATAATCTGTGGTTCTGCAGCTTGACACCTCACCGTAGCAACTGCATTTGTATGTCCGGATAATGTATGTACACTGGCTTTAGTTCTCACATCCCAAATCTATAAAAACACGAGGGACACACTGTCAGAGAGAACAGGTATTCATATCTCAGGCAGGTAACTGCACCAATTCAAAGCTGCGAATTTACCAGACAACTGTGCCTGAATAGAATGAAAAATCGTTTCAAAGAAAGATAATGATCTGTAAGCCAGATGGGGAATGTAGATAGGAGGCAGCTAACAGGAAAAAAAAACCTGAAAGATCAGGGTGCTGAAAGTATAAGAATGGGCATAATGAGACTACTGAAGGAAATAGCTAACAGAAACTGTTGCAGTTATGGAATGGAACGTGTGAGTGTCCCATTTCAGAGGCAGGGCATTCCCAATAATAAACATGATGAGGCCACAGAACTGAAAATGAAGGTGGAAAAACATACGAGTCAAGAAACTGAGGGACAGGGCTATTGCTGGTCAAGGCAACTATCTTGAATTCTCTAACAAATAACATATGACTCCATGACCAAATATGCATAGTGTAAGATGCAATACATTTACAAAGAAACACAAAGCTCTATTCCATTTACCCGTGCAGTTGAATCCCGACTACAGGTTACCAGCACATCAATTGTTGGGTGCAAATCCAAACCATACACTGCACTTAGATGTCCATGATAGTGCCTTATAACCTAAAAATAAAGCAGAAAAGTCAAAATCTCTATCATTATAAAGGAAAACGGTGGTTCATAATGTTTTAAACCCTTAACTCCAAGCTTACCTTATTATATTCAAGATCCCAGCATTTGACTTGTTTGTCTTCTCCACAGGAAAACAGGTAAGGGCTCCGCGTGCTTACTATCACACCACGCACTGTACTAATGTGCCCAGTTAATGACAGTTTTAATTTGCCACTAGCCAAGTCCCAGATCTGCAATCAAAGAATATTTAATTTTCCTTCTTAATTATCCCAAAGCAAATAGATTCTTAATGTTAAAATTAAATATTCAAAAAGTGAAAGTTATAAACATATAAAACTTTAAAAATTTGCAAAATAATCTCCCACCAATCTCCTCCCTTGTTAAGCAGGGGAAAACAGAATTAAAAAGCACGTTGAAACTGGGAAAATATTTGCAGTAAGTGACAAAATCTTAACATATAAAAGGATATCACAGATAAAGTATGAATACTATATTAACTTAGGCAAGGATGGCAACAACTTAGGAAAAAAACAAAAAAAACAAAACCCTACAGAAACAACCTAAATGTCCATCAAAGGATGAATGGATAGAAAAAATGTGGTGTCTATACATATCTATGTATACACACACAATGGACTATCATTCAGCCATGAAAAAGAATGGAATCTTGCCATTTACAACAATATGGGTGAACCTCAAGTGCATTATGCTGTGGGAAGTAAGTCAGACCAAGAAAGACAAATACTATGTGATTTCACTGGTAAGTGAACTCTAAAAACAAACAAAAAAAACCCAAGCTCACAGATACAGAGAACGGATCAATGGTTGCCAGAGGTGGGGGTGGGGAGTGGGTGAAATGGGTAAAGAGTCAAACGTACAAACTTCCAGTTACAAAATAAGTAAGTCATGGGGATATAATGTTCAGCACGGCAACTATAGTTAGTAATACTGCACTGCATATCTAAAAGTTGTTGAGAGTAGATCTTAAAATTCTCACTACAAGGAAAAAAAATTCTGTAACTACGTATGGTGACATGTTAACTAAATTTGTTGTGGTGATTTCACAACATATACAAATATTGTATCATTATGTTGTACACCTAAAACTAATATTGTATACCAATTATACCTCAATAAAAAAATATATACAGGTTGAAAAAACCTAAGAACAGCTTTATTAGGTATCAAAAAGTTCAACCCCACTAGAAAATTTTATGGACAGTTTTTAAAAGATTAGATAACCATTTCTGCTTAACACGTTAGTAGATACTTTTAAAGATACACAATCAGTGTGTTGAAAAGGATCCTCTCATACACTGCAAATTATCAATTCACCCATTTTGGAAAATAATTTGTACTTTGGGTGTCAACTTCAAAAATGTCTGACCCATTAATTCCATTTCTGGGAATCTGTCATAACAAAATAATTTAAAATACAGCAAAAAGCTTTAGGCACAAAATTACAGCATTGTGATAGTGAAAATCAAGAAACTGAAAACTTCGATGTCTAACAATAGGAAGATTACAGAATATCTAAATGATATATCATGAAACCATTTATAAAAAGTTCATTTTTTCACAACAATATGCCTCTGATATATTAAGTGGAAAAAAAGCAGAGTACATAATTACATACCAATCATGATTTTTTATTTATGTATTTTTTTAATATTTGAGAGAGAGTGTGTGTGCACAGGGGAGGGGTGGGTGGAGCAAAGGGAGGAGAGAGTCTCAAGCAGATTCGTGCTGAGTAAGGAGCCTGAGATCAGGACCTAAGCTGAAACCAAGAGTCGGTTGCTTAGCTGACTGAGTCACCCAGGCGCCCCATCATGATTTTTTTGAAGATACACATTTATACACACAGGAAAAAAGCTCAGACGGAAATGTAATGACACATACGCACAGAAATAAATACTAAAAAGAAATTCGTTCAAATTATCTGAGAGTTGGATTATGTATGGGTTTGTGTTCTTTTATACTTTTCTGTATTTTCCACATTTTTTATATATAAGCATGCTTGAATTCTGCAATCAGAGGAGAAAAAAACTTAAATATCAAGGAATCAGTGGTAGGTAGTCAATATGTACTGTTTGGAAAAACCTGTTATTTAAATACCACTTTCCAAACATATTTATTTGGAACAACAAACTGATAAAGATAGGAAGTTTTACTCCATACTCAGGTCTAAGAAATCAGAGGAACTCCAACAGCAACTCCCACCTAGGAAAATAAGATTAAATTTAAGTAGCAAATAAAAAGTCGTAATTTTTTTTTCTTCCTCCTTCCTATTACCTTTATAGTTCTGTCAGCAGATCCAGTTACAAACCACTGATTTCCAGGTTCTACAGCAATACAGCGAACCCAGCCAAGATGCCCACTGATCACCTGTATAAAACAAAAGGAAGAATGGGCAGACTCATTACATATAAGTTAGAGTTTATTCAATTTCAATTTATGACACAGAAGTCAAGTTTATCCTCCTCATATCTTCAAATACATTTATAAAATTATTTGACAATTAGATTTTAGAATTACAAATATTACCTTCAATCAGTAAATAGATACACACAAACTATGATATAGCTATACAATGGAATACTACTCAGCAATGAAGAGGAATATATTAATACATGCAACAACCTGGAGGATTCTCAAAGGCATTAAGCTGAAGGAAGTCAGTCTCAAAAGGTACATACTGTGTAATCCCATTATATAACAAAATTGAAAAAAACACAACTATAGTATGGATAACAGATGAATAGTTGCCAGGGGTACAGAAAGGTATGACTATAAAATAATAGCACAGGAGTGCTTTTTGAGTTGATGCAACTTCTATATACTGATAGTGGCAGTGACTACGCAAAGTTATACATCTATTAAAACTTATATTAGGTCTGTACACCAAAAGAAAGTCTATTTTAGTGTATAACTAGAGAACTAAAATTCAACATACATGTAGCTATGGTTTCCCTACCATATACATTTCATTTTAGATCTGGTACATTTTGAATTATTTTAATTTAATACAATTGAAAAGATAATCAATAGCGCCAAAAAAATATCGTTACATGTTGTTCTTCCTCCTGGCCTTCATATTAAGTACTTCAAACACTTAGAAAATTTATTTCATCCGTTCTCCACATTTTAATAGCTTTCTGTCAACGTTTTATACTGTATCCTATAGTATATATATATATATATATGTAGTATGGTAGTATACTATAATATGGTATAATAGTATATATATGTATATAGTATATATATACGTATATGTGTATATATATATATATATATATATACACACACACACACATGCATATACACACATGGTTTTTACTTGTCTCCTTCCTAAGATGTCTTTTAAGATTGTGCCTAAAACCCTTCCCCCATCCCATCTCAGATCAGTTCTCATATTCACTCCTTTTCTTCCTTATTCTATTCCTGAGCTCTCGGTAAGTGGAAAGCAATCATCATTCCTGCAGTGGAATAACATACAGATTCACTCACCCTGTAGAGTTTCCATGGTGGGTGCCACTGGGGTTTTGGCATCGTAGGGGCTTTTTTAGCCATCAGTGCAGAGTTCTTGGCATTGCCAGCCTCCATAACAGCCTAGATAGAGAACAGATTACATTATCATTAAAGACATCATACCTAACATGTCATGTTCATTCAAAAAAGAAAAATTCAGAAAGGAGATTTGTAAGTTTTTTTTCCTTAATTGAAGAGGAAAAGCCAAAATAGTTGCATAAATAGAAAATGATGTCATAACTGAGACTTCTAGTCAGAACTGTATTTTCCGTATGTTAATTTTAATTTTAAAAATCAATTAAAAAAATCTCAGAGGCAGAACATTAGAGTTAAGAGCACGTATCACTGTGCGTGGGTTCATGAATGCTGCTCTGCTAATTACTAGCTAACTGGCTTTAGGTAAAAATTATATAACCTCTGTGCCTGCTTTGTAAAATGGAAAGAACAGTGCCTACCTCAGACAGTTACTGTGAAAATAGTGTTACTACTCTGTAAATGCTCAATGTAAGCTCCTATTATTACTTGAGTAATTTTAAGTGGATTAATGTCATTGCCTTTCATTGTTGTATTTTAACATTATCGACTTAATAGCAAAAAGAGAAACTTTCTTCCAAAAAATATTTAATATTTTATTTTTAAAATTTAAATTCAATTAATTTATAGTTTTAGTTTCAGAGGTAGAGTTCAGTGATTCATCAGTCTTATATAACTCATTACATCACGTGCCCTCCTTAATGCCCATCACCCAGTTACCCAATCCCCCCACCCCCCTCCCGCAACCCTCAGTTAAGAGTCTCTTATGGTTTGCCTCCCTCTGATTGCATTTTGTTTTATTTTTCCCTCCCTTCCTCTATGCTCCTCTCTTACTTCTTGAATTCCACATATGAGTGAAATCAGAGGATTACTGTCTTTCTCTGACTTATTTCACTCAGCATGATACGCTCTAGTTCTATCCACGTCATTGCAAATGGCAAGATACCATTTTTTTGATGGCTGAGTAATATTCTATTGTATTTATACCACTTTTCTTTATCCATTCATCTCTTGATGGACATCTGGGCTCTTTTCATAGTTTGGCTATTGTGGACATTGCTGTCTTTCTCTGACTTATTTCACTCAGCATGATACGCTCTAGTTCTATCCACGTCATTGCAAATGGCAAGATACCATTTTTTTGATGGCTGAGTAATATTCTATTGTATTTATACCACTTTTCTTTATCCATTCATCTCTTGATGGACATCTGGGCTCTTTTCATAGTTTGGCTATTGTGGACATTGCTGCTATAAACACGGGGGTGCAGGTGCCCCTTCGGATCACTACATTTGTATCTTTCAGGTATATAGCTAGTAGTGCAACTGCTGGATCATAGAGCAGCTCTATTTTTAACTTTTTGAGGAACGTCCATACTGTTTTTCAGCTTGCATTCTCACCAACAGTGTAAGAGGATTCCCCTTTCTCTACATCCTTGCCAACATCTGTTGTTTCCTGCCTGACTTGTTAATTTTAGCCATTCTGACTGGTGTGAAGTTGTATCTCATTGTAGTTTTGATTTGCATTTCCCTGATGCCGAGTGATGTTGAGAATTTTTTCATATGCTCATTGGCCACCTGTATGTCTTCTCTGGAGAAATGTCCATTCATGTCTTCTGCCCATTTCTTGACTGGATTATTTATTTTTTGGGTGTTGATTTGATAAGTTCTTTATAGATTTTGGATACTAGCCCTTTATCTGATAAACCTCCCATAAATATCTTCTCCCACTCTGTAGATTGTCTTTTTGGTTTTGTCAACTGTTTCCTTTGCTGTGAAAACCCTTTTTATCTTGATGAAATCCCAATAGCTCATTTTTGCCTGTTTCCCTTGCCTTTGGAGAAGTTTAAGTAATATTTTAAAAGGTATTCCAGCTGATATACCATCTACTATGGTGAGCATCCATCCATCCACCCCAAAAATACTTAAGTCTGTAAGTTCCTACCATCAAGAAGCTTATATTACCTCCTCCTTAGGAGACAGAAAGCCTGGGCAGAGATCTATGAATGGAGGCAAAAGAAGAAATGTGGTGGGAAGACCACAAACTCATTCATTTAGCCTGCAGTTACTCGTGACAGCATGATAAAATAAACTAGGTATTTTCAGTTATTCTTTTTGTAATTACTTTCACCAGTAACATTAGCTGCCATTTACTTACAAATAGATAAACTTCCATATTTCTAAATGTTCATTTATAAGATACTACTTCTACAGCCTATGAATATTACATTACTAACAGTACTCAAACTGTGTAAACCAACTTAGAGTTTAAAAAAAGAGAGATTTTCATATCTAACACATACTAATACAAGTTTCACAACAGCATTCCCTGTATTTTTAATAGTGGACAATAAAACATCACACTACCTATATCAAAATACATATTAGATAACAATGTGCAAGAGACACAGAATTTAGAATTTTAAATTCTAAAAAATATGCAAAATCACTAGCAACTTAAATTTTAGGGCTATAAAATATTAACTGGCTCAGTCAGCTGCTATTTACTTAAACGACAAACAAGGAGATTTTTCATTTATTAACATTTAACCTCAGACTCTTGGAATAAAGGGAAATAAGGCAACGAGCTCCAAAAGATGGAAACCTGCAGCGCGAACGGACACAGAGAAACTTACTGAAGTCATCCCTGCAGGCTGTGAACGGTCAGAAGCCCCTGGATGTCGGTATTCACCTCCAGTAGGTGCACTACGATTTGCATCAACCCTAAGGCAAAGGAAGTATCACATTCTAAGTAATTAATTGTCTCCAGTCATGTGTTGTGCAGAACCAACTCTTTAAATTTTTGTAAGCAATGATAAAGGAAAATATCACATAACACATAATTATAAAGAAATCTTAAAAATGAGAAAAAAATGTAAACAATCAATTATGCTTTCAAAATCTCTGTAATTATACCTGGTCTGAGAAGAAGGTAATGCCACAGCTAAGGATTGTGCGGCTGATTCACTTGGCATTCTTTGGATCTTAGTATCTGCTGTCAAAGCAACCCCTGTTTAAAAAAATAAATAAATCAATTCCTTCTAGTAGCTATCTTTGATTTCATTTACATGGGTTTAAAATAAAATACTGGAAGAAAACATGTGATTATCTCCAGGTGGTAATATTACAAAAATTTCTCTTATGTTTTGTCTTTCATTTCTAACTTTTTCATAATAAATGTAACTTAAAACCACAGAACTCAAATTTGACTTAATCACAAGTAGCTTGGTATTAACATACCCAAGATAGTAAAGTTAAATTTCTATTATCTTGGAACATTACCATAAGCAGTTCCCAAATGTTTTCAAGAATGAATGGAAATTACTAAGCAAGAGGCACCAATTTACCTGTACTTTCAACATGGTAAATCCTATCTTCTAAAATTACTAGAACCCAGATATACTTTTTGTCCTCCACCCCATTATACTAGCCACTCCATTTATGTGCCAACTGTCTATACACACAGACATCTAGTAGACATTTCTATCATACCTGCTTCTATACTAACACTTCTATCACTTTTTTAAGTTTAGTGATAATAACATGTCTGTTTAAACCTCCATATAAGCACGGTTTAGCATGGAGCACTCTTATTAAGTCTGAATTCCTAGCATAGCACCTGAAAAAATGTAGGTGCTTAAGAATGTTTGCTGAATGAATGCGTATGAAACTGAGTATTAATTAACTACCATCTAAAAAGCTATGCCTGGATGCCTGGCTACTGAGCTTGTCTTGCATTTTACAGGCAATTAGAATCGTATTATTGGTTCATTCATGGAAATGTCTGTAAGATATTTTCAGTATGTAATAGCTCACTTACCAGGTCCTGGTGGATATGGATGTGTACCTGTCACCAAATACTCAACTTCTTGTCCTTAAAAAAGGAAGAGGAATCATCATCAATGGCAAATTTATCATATATATATATAAATCTCTTTTAATGAATATTAAATTACCAACTGAATTTCCCAAATTTTCCCAACTAAACCCAAACCTCAGAACCAAGATATACTGATTTTTGTTTTGACTTCTGAGGACCATGTACACAGCTATTTCCTTGACCATTTACTAATATGATGTCAAGAAAACTGTATAATTGTAATGGTGTGTACAGAGATCATCCTATCAAGTAACAACCCACTCTCTGGTTTTTCTTCCAAGCAAATGATTTCTCTGTGGAATCTTAAGATTATCTTTATTCACGGCAATGTCAGTGCTTAATATCACTTTTCTGAATGGTAGCCAAAATAGATGGGTCTTTCCATGGATTAGAAATTTTTCCTTTAGTCTCCACTGTGACCTTCTCTATATCCTAAGAATTTCTGCCATTATTATTCTACCACTTTTTTTTATTTCCTCTAAGAAAAAATCCACCAACCAATAATCTCAACTCACACTCCAATGAGAAAATCAACACTTCTGCTATAATACCGGTACAGTTGTTCAATAGGTTACGGCTCTAATCAGTCCTTTTGGGACAGGCACTAAAACATTTCATTTTTCCATTTTTAAAATATTAAAGTCCTGACATTTCTGCTAACACATACTCACCTTGATTGGCAGGATACTGTTTATGACCATATGAATCCGATGCATTCTGAGGACATTTCTCTTTAAAATTTTCTTTTGAAGTAGGCATATGCAACACAGGACCATACTCATTACGCAGCTTGATTGCCATTTTCCGTTTGTGACTATTTAAAAATTATGAACATAAGAATGTGTCTTTGAGTGCTTTAAATATATTAGCCAATGGAAATATATTCATAGATAGCCAAGAAACACAAGTACTTAAAAAGCTTAGGTTTGCCTAATCGTGTAGAAAAAATTCTATGAAGTTTTTAAAGTTAAATAGTATTTTAAAAAGCTCGACACTTCCAAGTGCATTTCCACACTTTTGTTCACAATCCACCACATAGCATCCATTAAGTCTAAGTAACATTTTAGTCTGTTAACCAATAAATATAAAACCTTTCATGATAAATTATCCAGGGTCTGATTTAAAAATATATAGAAACTAATATATCCTTTTAAAAACCTCAAAGTCAATATACTTTCCTTCAAATGTGTAAATATAAAAGTATAGTAAAAGCTTCTACCATAACCCTTACTGGATGTATCTAAAAAGATTAATTAGAACTAACCAAAGTACTTAATTAGTCCAGTGTTTTTAAAAGAAATGCACTTATTAATTTTAAGAACAGCTCACTTTATAAATTAAATATAAACGCTTGTCTTAGGAATTAAGTAGATTTTAAAAGGGTAAAGGACATAGAAGGAACACTGCACATATGCAATCCCAGACTGGAGCTGGAGATGTAGAACCAAAAATATGCCACCACTCAAAAATCTTCATCATACTAACGAGAAAAGATGGGAGTAGAGGTACTGGCCAGGTACAATTTCAGCTCAGCAAGGCTCTGAGAGCAGCGGGAAGCTGAAAGCACATACAAAGTGATTGATTATAAAATATAACACCTAAAAGGGACTCTCCTAATTACTGGGTATTTATAAATGCAATTAATTAATGGGTTTTTTACTGTGAAAGACAAGGCCAAAAAAAAGTTGAATCAGCTTAAATCATGCCCAAACACCATTCATTACTGAACAGATATCCTATGTTAGTACCACTCACTAATCTTTAAAGGTCCCCCTCTCCCTGCTCTCTTCCCCCAACATTAGAAGCTTAAATTATCTAGCAACTGAAAAGGAACAATACCTACCTCTCTTCATCCAAAGGCACAGGTTTTCCATTATCAGCTACAAACATGTCATGGGTTCTCTTCAATGACCTGAACACAAGTGTGTGCACAGAATGTTTCTGTACCTCCTAGAAAGAAAGAATATAATCACATACCTAGCTACAAATTACACATACCATAACCTAAATTAAAGTCAAATTAGTTATACACTTTACATGTTTAAATATGTAAAAAGCTTTGTACCACTCACCACAGCTATTTGTAGCAAACTATAGGAGTCAAGTTCAGAGAAGAGGAAACTCCTCTTTGGCCAGAGCCCCAGGTAGACCAATTAGTGATGCCTGAGCTTAGTCATTTATTCAACAAATATTTACTGGGCTCCTACCATATGTCTGGCAGGTACTGTGTTAGAAGCTAACAAAAGAATGATGAAAAGGCAGCCATGGTCCCAGTTCTCAAGAGAAAACAAAAATAAGCAGCACATTTTGATAAGCGCTATGAAGGAAACAAGCAAGGGGCTGGGGCAGAGAAAAAACTTAAGATAGTTATGAAAGATCTTTCTGAGGTGTTAGTTAAGCAGAGAGTTAGCCTTGTGCAGAATAGAGGTACGAACAATCCAGGCAGAGAGAAAATGCCATGAACACAGGAGTTTGGTAGCTGCAGTGATGGCGGGAGCTGCAAAAGAATTGTGTATGTTCCGTAGGAAGGTGGACTGTGATGCTGAGATGAGGTTCCAAGGGTGGACAAAAGTCCAGACCAAGTTAAGGATTTTTTTTTTTTTTTTTAGATCACTGCACTAGTCTATCCTTTTGCTCTAAAAAATCGGGCCAATAAAGGATTTTAAGCAGAAAAAAAATGAACAACCTACATTTTTAAACAGATCAATTTACGGGGGCGGGGAGGGGGAGTGAAAACAAAAATGGAAGCAAGAACACCAGCAGGGAGCAAATGCACTTGCCCGGAGGAAAGATGATGTTGGTCTGAATTAAGGTGAAGACAGTGGATATGGACAAGAATCAAGAAATATTTCTGAGATAAGACGGACAAGGCTGGCTAACAGAACAGCTGATGCCAAACTTCAAAATGGCAGGTTTCCTGAGGAAGAGCTGAAGGAAGGCACAAAGTTAACACCAGAGAGGACTGCCAGTCTTTTAGAACACACAACCACTGACACTACTCTGCAGACGGGGAATTCCAGGGGTCCAGAAGCACTGCCTCCGGGGGCACTGCCGAGCTCAAGAGTCAAATAAGAACTGTAGAAATTCTCTCAGGCTTCTCGCCCCCGGGGGTAACCTCCAGCGAGTGCTCCCATCCGGCCTCCCTCTATCCCTGAAAACCTTAAAAGAGACTACCGGCCTCGGCCAGAGAGCCTCCCTTCGCAAGCCTCTACCTTCCCCCAACTCCAAACACCCTCGTTCCCCCACGCCAGCCGCCAAAAACATTCCAGATGCGAACGACCCCTCGGCGCTCAAGTGCCACTTTACCTCCACCATGATGCTGCCGTGTAACGCGCCGCTCCAGGAGACAAGAAACGCTAGTCAGCAACACAGAAACCGCCGCCACAACTCTGCAGTCCCTTCCGGAATCGAGTGCCCTGGCGCCGGATGTAAGGCAATCCGCGCACGCGTACTGGTCGCCCGACGGCCTTCTGGGATCGAGGGGCGGGCCTTTTTCTTCGGGGGCGTGGCCTCGGCCCTGCGGTAGGAGGCTCTTACCACCTCGTACCTTAAGGGTCTCTTACGGATCTCCGAGGAAGTCTTGAAATAACGTTTTCTGCCTTATTGTCAGACTTAAACAGTTTGGTTTGGGGATGTGGTAGTTTGCGCTGTGTTTCCCGAAATTAGTCCTTTTTTTTTTTTTCAGCGAACCTAAGGAATCCGTGCTAGGGAGGGTCTGGTGAGAGCGAATCCCGGTCAGCCCTAAAACTCCAGTCGTCCTGTCGTCTGGGGCTCACCGCTGTGATTTACGTCGCCTGCTTCCACTACTTGGCTAAACTTGGCTGGAAGCATTTTGACGCCTTTGTAGCCTTAGCTCCTAAAGGCAGTTCCACTTATACTGTCCAGTTAACACTTGTTGAAGGAATATTGTAGAATAGTTTCAATTTGAGAAAGTTTGCAAAGATTTTTTGTTTTAGCATTATATGGCAAAACCCCAAATTTATTTTATGCTGCATAGATTTTTTTTTTTTAATCCCTCAAAACTGCATAATTTTTGGCCATCTCCTACTTGTCTGCTAGTTAATGTGGCGCCAACAATGCCAGGGTACAGCTTTTCAAAAGCTGGTGGAAGACACAACTGAAGACTTGAGCCATTTTTATTTATACACATCCCGGTGCCAAAGTATCGGTATTTTATCTTGTTTTTTGCTCAGGTAAAATGCAGTTTTCTATCAATCCTGCCCCATTACTTTTCTATGTAAAAAGAAAAACTGATAGAGATGGACACTTGTAAACTTGATAGACAAACATTTCACTGGCCTTGCTTGTTCCTTAACCTAATCAATTCCACTGATCTTCTCCTCAGAGCATATAGCATATGCTTTGAGAGGGGAAAAAAATCTTATCAAAAGTATAGCAATGTGAATTGATAATCTCATTAGAAATTCATTGATTTTTAATTAATCAAAAACATTAAGGTCACGTTTCTACTTGAAAATACAATCATCTTTGAATTTGAGTGTGAGTTTGGCCTACTAATTAATTTTCTGTAACAGTGGCCACTGGTGGTAGGCCTTGCAAAGAAATTCCATAATTGTAAAAATATGTACTTGGGAAGCTATACCATATTATAACTTTCCCATAGATATAATAACTATACAAAACAATTTGATTTTAAGGCAATAAAATTATAGAAATATAAACAAGATTCTAATATACCTATGGCAATATAATAACTGTCTAGTTGGACCTATTAACATGTTAATCATCCTGGAAAATTTTTATAAACCCAGACTCATAAAAACATTGTAATAGTTGAGGTAAATTGCACTAGATTGTGCTTCTTTTATTTTATTTTTTAATTTTATTGTTATATTAGTCACCATACATTACATCATTCGTTTTTGATGTAGTGTTCCATGACTCATTGTTTGCGTATAACACCCAGTGCTCCATTCAATACGTGCCCTCTTTAATACCCATCACCAGGCTAACCCATCCCCCTACCCCCCTCCCCTCTAAAACCTTCGGTTTGTTTCTCAGAGTCCATAGTCTCTCATGGTTTGTCTCCCCCTCAGATTTCTCCCCCTTCATTTTTCCCTTCCTACTATCTTCTTTTTTTTTAAACATATAATGTATTATTTGTTTCAGAGGTACAGGTCTGTGATTCATCAGTCTTCCACAATTCACAGCGCTCACCAGAGCACATACCCTCCCCAATGTCCACCACCCAGCCACCCCATCCCTCCCACCCCCCACCACTCCAGCAACCCTCAGTTTGTTTCCTGAGATTAAGAATTCCTCATACCAGTGAGATCATATGATACATGTCTTTCTCTGATTGACTCATGGATCTATGAATTACCTGTTTTGTATGCAAATTTTATATTTATATCAGAACCTGAGATTTTGTTTTGTTTTGTTTTTTTGGTGAAAGAATCCATAGATTTCTTTGGATTCCAAAAAAGATCTAGGGCCCAGGAAAGGTTAAGAATCTCTGTCCTGTAGGATTTTGATGGACTCTTGTCTCACATTCAGGTCTTTCATCCATTTGGAGTCTGTTTTTGTGTGTGGTGTAGGGAAATGGTCCAGTTTCATTCTTCTGCATGTGGCTGTCCAATTTTCCCAACACCATTTGTTGAAAAGACTGTCTTTTTTCCATTGGACATTCTTTCCTGCTTTGTCGAAGATTAGTTGATCATAGAGTTGAGGGTCCATTTCTGGGCTCTCTATTCTGTTCCATTGATCTATGTGTCTGTTTTTGTGCCAGTACCATACTGTCTTGATGATGATAAGTGAAATAAGTCAGAGAAAGACATGTATCATATGACCTCACTGATACGAGGAATTCTTGATCTCAGGAAACAAACTGAGGGTTGCTGGAGTGGTGGGGGGTGGGAGGGATGGGGTGGCTGGGTGATAGACATTGGGGAGGGTATGTGCTATGGTAAGCGCTGTGAATTGTGTAAGACTGATGCATCACAGACCTGTACCTCTGAAACAAATAATACATTATATGTTTAAAAAAAAAAAAAGAAGAAGATAGTAGGAAGGGAAAAATGAAGGTGGGGGAAATCGGAGGGGGAGATGAACCATGAGAGACTATGGACTCTGAGAAACAAACAGGGTTTTAGAGGGGAGGAGGGTGGGAGGATGGGTTAGCCTGGTGATGGGTATTAAAGAGGACACGTACTGCATGGAGCACTGGGTGTTATACGCAAACAATGAGTCATGGAACACTACATCAAAAATGAATGATGTAATGTATGATGATTAACATAACATAATAAAAAAATTAAAAAAAAAAAAAAAGAATCTGTCCTGGAGGACACCCAGGGCTGCCTTATTTGAGCAGTAGGGGTCACTGCTGCTCTTTAATAATGATAGGAGGATTTTCCCTAAGAAGGATTTTCTCTTATCTTTATAAGGATAGGAGGAGTTCACCACCTAAATTATGGTGAATAATTTATTAATGTAAATATGAAGTCTGTGTAAAACCAATAGTACAAATTTTAAGAAAGGGCCTCTCTTTATTAATCTAGTTTTTTTAACTCACCAGTATACGAGATCCTTTCATTCTCTATCAGATACTTGCGTCCTTTGTTTGCCCTTAAGTAAGTGGGAGGAGGTCACATGAGTATAGATTTCAGTGTCCTTTTCATCTTTTCATCAGATTTTTCATTGAAAATGTTTTCTGATTTTTTTATACTCATAAAAAGATGGATATTATTTCTTCTTGTTACTCTCAGTTTAGAGGGTTAAATCTATATAATCTCTGTAGACACTACTCTCTTTACATAAATATTCTTTAGACTTATTTGACTCAATATGTACTTTTCCCCATGAATTTCAGATTTTAGTTCTTCACTAATTCAAAAGGGAGGAATGGTGGACGTTATCATTTCTTTTTTAATTTCTAAGGTCAGAAACAGTTAAAAAGAATACTTGGACATTTCTTCCAGGAGTTTGGTCTTCGTTTATTACAATGCTAAGAATGGGCCCAAATGCTGAGGTAGTGTTAGCAAGTGGTTTCTAGAACAGAGTTAAGAAGAAAGCTTCTGAAAAAAAAAAAAAAAGAAGAAGAAGAAGAAAGCTTCTGGAACCACAGGAAACAGTGAGGGAGCTATTCTTATGAATAATGCCTGGAAAGGCCTAGTGCATAATAAAGCTGCACTGTCAGTTATAAATATCTTAAGCGAGGGGTGTGTATGTGTGACAGAGAGAGAAGGGAAGTGTTGCTTATCACAGTTTTTGCTCCTACTTTGTGAAGTCCCATCCCATGTCATAAAAATAAGTGCCAAATTGAACATGATCATGACTTATATTTTATCTTTTCTTATGTTTCTATTTTGCAAAAATGTGTCAGTGTTTTTGCTGACACAGAAAAAAAATAGCAATGTGACATTTCCAGATTTCTCAGCTGAGTTCATATACTACCATGCTTGATGGTAATATTTGTTTAATTATCTTTGCTCCCCAATAGACATATGGGTTGAGTATGGTGTGATATTCATGATCACATACCCAGTATTTGGATAACTTGCAACTGGTAGACTTTCAATATTTGTTGAATGATTGGGTAAGTAAGGTGTTAAGATTTAGACACTTAAATGTGGGGATGGAAGGTTCTGAGACCTTAATTTTGATGTGGGGTTGCAGGTATGAAATCTGTAATGAAAGATACTGTGTGTCATTGTATGTGTATATTATGTGCTGAAAGATGAACTGTTTCAACAACAATTAATTTAATATTAACCCTTTTCTGTATGAAAGGCAGAGAATTGCTTGAATGAGGACAGTCTGTCTTTCTGATCATTGTAAATTTTGTGAAAGTGAATTATTCTCCACTATATTTAGGTAAGTTAGTGCCACATTTTATCTAGTTTATATAGTTCTGACATTAAAAGATACTAATTTATTTGCAAAAATATATTCTTTTTCAAAAATGGGTTTAGTTGGCAGAAAAAATTCTTGACATCAATAAATAAGAAGATTAGGCATTTTGAGTGAACATTTTCCTACTATAATTTAGGCATTTTTAAGCTTTCTTTTAAAAATGAACTATCAAAAACTAGCATTATGTTTGTGGATAAACTTTAAAAACATTCTCTTAGTCACAAACCAAGAATTCCTGCTATCACTATTATTATCCACACCTATATTTTTCCTGAAAATATTAGTTATGAAGTTAGACAAAAAGAGAAATACATGTGTAACATGGGGAATATCTGTATTTGCAAATGGCATGACTGTATACCTAAACAAACAAACAAACAAACAAACAAGAAATCAACTGGAAAAACTACTGGAAACAAGAGAATTCACTAAGAGAGTGGAGTACAAAGTAATATTCAAAAAATCAATAGCTTTCATATATACAGTTAAAATATAATGGAGGAAATCATCTTATTTATAACAGCAATAAATGAAAAATGTGGGA